GGGTGGGTGCGGGTGCCGGGGATGCCGTGGGGTGCAGGACATGGCCAGCACGGGCACATCTCCCCCCTCCTCTCCCCCCCGCATGTCGCAGGGCCCATTTCCCCCCCGCCACCACCGAAGCGGGGGTCACCTTCACCGGCCCCGGGGACAGACAGAGCATCTCGTCCCGGTTCGGCAGGGCTGGGGTCCGCAGTCCCCATGCTGCCGCCTCGCGCCTCCCGCGCTAATGAGCTGCATCCCCATCAGGGGAGTCCTCTCCTCCCTGACAGCAGAGGACGTGTTGACAAATGGACCTCGGCGGCCACATATCGAGGGCTTGGATGCATCCCCACCGCTCCCGCCGCTCCGTCCCGGCTCTTCCTGGGCAGGAGGGGGCTCACCACCCGACCCCAGCTCCTGGGGGGCTCTCCCAGGGGCTGAGCGAGGCTCAGGGCTGGTCCTGTGCCCAGTGCAGGCACAATCCCATGGCCGGAGCCATCACGGGGGACAACCCGTGATCCCATGGGAAACCCTCCCGCTGATAATCCTGATGGACAGTGTCTCATTAGCATCTCCCCGTTGATGAAAGCCTGATTTTCTTAGCTGCATCCCCCCGTCTCGCAGCATCCCTCTTCCCTCCTGATTCCCTGTGGATCTGCTCTGCTGTGGCTGCCGTCTCCTCTCCGAGGAGGGGCAATATTCAGGAGGATGAGCTCCGTCTGTTGGGGAGGGCTCCTGGGGGGTCTCAGGGGGCTGTGGGATGTTCCAGGGGGCTGCCTGGGGCTGACGGTGTCCCACTGGCTTTGCAGAACCCTACAGCCCAGCCGTGTGGGTCATGATGTTTGTGATGTGCCTCACCGTGGTGGCCGTCACTGTCTTCGTGTTCGAGTATTTCAGCCCCGTTGGCTACAACCAGAACCTCACCAGCGGCAAAAGTGAGTGGAGGAGGTGGGAGCTGGAGGGGGACACACATCCCCAGCCAGGCTGACTGCTGTACCCTCTGTCCCCACAGGGCCAGGAGGTCCCTCCTTCACCATCGGCAAGTCGGTGTGGCTGCTGTGGGCTCTGGTCTTCAACAACTCAGTGCCCATCGAGAACCCCAAGGGCACCACCAGCAAGATCATGGTGCTCATCTGGGCCTTCTTTGCCGTCATCTTCCTCGCCAGCTACACTGCCAACCTGGCCGCCTTCATGATCCAAGAGCAATACATCGACACCGTGTCGGGGCTGAGCGACAGGAAGGTGGGGTTGACAATTGGGCTGGGATCCCTGAAAAAAAATAATAAGGTTTTTTGGTTGAGGAGAAGTCCCCAGTTGTCACTGCCAGCTGGCTGGGCATGGGCGGGTGGATGAAGGGCTGGCTGTGGGGAGTGGGGACATGCTGGGGACATGGCAGGGGCCCACGA